TTAAAGATTGTTAAGCTTTGTTAACTTTTAGATTCCCTTTGGTACATGAGTCAGCGGAGTATCGAAAGCATCGAGACACCTCAGACTGTGCAGCCTCGTGACAGCATTAGGAAGCCTGTGCAAGTGGTTGCAGTGGGAAACGATCAAAGTCTAGATGTTTGCAAGTCGCCCTATCGTTTTGGTATATCATTAAACTTTATTCCATGAAGATCTAAGTATCTTAGATGCAATAGATCCTCGATGCAATCCGAAATTCTATCGATCGATGTATCTCTCAAATCCAACACTCGTAGGTGCGGTAACCTTCTCAGCACATCGTCGTCGATTATCTTGGTCCTGGGGGAGTCGGTCAGAATTAAAGTTCTCAAAGACTCCTGTTCCATAATTCGTTTGGGGAGTAGTAATTTGTCCCCCATGTTAGACAATGACAACCTACGAATCTTGGTGTTTGCTTGTGTATCTAATTCCCCTCCATGTCTAATCGAAAATCCCTTCGTCTCTTATCAAATATGCACCAAGGGATCATAAATGTTCATGCATAGAGCAACAGCTATTGTCTGCGTACAATGGATCCAGCTGTAGCAGATTCCTCCATACTAGTTCCCAATAGTACTCCTCGGCTACATCTTCCATCAGCCTATTATTATTTCCATGCTCTACGATAAGGCCTTCAGCCACCCAAAACCGAACGATTTGTCTGAAATGTATAGTACTTCTCTCTGGGTATAAGGAGCAATAGATAAAACATTGTTTCAGGTAAGATGGTAAATCCTGGTGGCTCAAATTCAAAGCCCCCGGTACTCCATCCTCCATCTTGTTCATACTCCAAGCATCACTCTCAAGGACTTCTTCCCACTTCACTATGCTTCTGTTCTTGTAAGCTAAAACCCCTGCAATAGCTTTGATGGAAAGAGGAAGTCCATCACATTTTCTAACAATTTTCCTACCGACGCATGTCATCCTCCTCCCCAGCTTCGAATGCACTCTTCCAAAGCAACATCCACCCACTATTTTCATTCATTTTCTCCACTTGGTGGATATAGCTATATCTGATACCTATCAACACACTTTCTTTTCTCGTGGTAACTAAGATCGTGCTGCTGCCTACTCCTTTACTTAGTGGTCTCCTGAGGAAATCATATTCCAAACAGTTGCACTCCAAACGTCGTCCAACACGAGAAACAAGTTTTTGGTCAGGAGAGAGGCGAGTTTAGGTTCCAATTCTGACCTGCTTTCTCCCCTAAAAGATTCTGCACCTTCGGCTGCACACCTCACTAGCTCTTTCAGTAAATCGATCTCGGAATACTCCTTAGACACATACAACCATTTACTGATAGGAAAGTTGTCCTTGATCCTTTGGTCGTTGTATATTTGACGTGCTAAAGTGGTCTTTCCGATGCCACCCATCCCTACAATCCCAAAAACACGACACTTTTGATTATTTTTCTGGAGCATGGCATCAATCAGATTGTGGGCGGCTACTTCAATTTGTTCCCCTACAATGTCCTCCTCAACTTCTAAGGGAGATGTCTCCCGTGTAGTTGTTTTGTGAGGTTGGGGTTCTTGGGTTGCCGACACTATCTCAGACACCAAGGCATTGAACTCGGCCATTTCTTTCAGTCTAGCATTAAGTGCTTCGATTTTGGTAGCGATCTCATGACGGTATTTAGTGCACTTAAAGCTAGAGGAAACAAAGCCGAGAGGGGAGCTTACCGCTGACGCTGATGCCGGCGGAGTTTCCAACAGTTTCCCACCTTCGATCGTGCAGAGATCGATGATATCATCGGCATCGTACATTAGATCTTTCAGCATCCTCACCCAGTTGTCAATGACGCGCTCACACGCCTCTTCCGCTCTGCATCTTGGATCAAACATCTGATTTTGTCCAAGTTTCCGGTCAGCGATTTGATCTCCTTCTTCACACCTAGCACCTTGCATATCTCTCCCTCCAGAAACTCTGTTACGACTTTAAGGTATCTTGAAACAAAGAAATTAAGGATCATTGCCATGATCTCTTTGACACCAACCGAGGAAATGCCACACCACTCAGAAAGAAAGTTTGATGTGTTGTTTGCACGGCCAAGTGTTCCTTGAGCACAAATATATTTGTATCAAAGAGCAGCATCATCAGTAGAACAAACAGGCTAAAACAAACCACGCCTGCAAACAAAATTACGACAAATGTCAAGGATGATGTCTTACCTTCACCGGTTACCGTTGGCAAGCGAAACAAAAAGAAGGAACGCTCGTCTGTATGTATTCAAAGCGTACGCTCGCATGCAGCAGTATCTATGTTTCTTTCCACTGTGCATGTGCATGTTTTGTTGCTTTAGATACCAGAAATCTCTGGTCATTGGTCGAGTCATGAAATCGTACGAGCCGCCCGGCCCCTAAGGACAGAAGTTAATCGACCGAGGAATCTTTCCACATTCTTAGGGGTAATTCATAACAACATGGAATTATTTCCTAAGGTGATCCATGCAGTAGCCGTCAGAAATCAGATTATCTTATCATCTACTTTCTTATTCTTCCGAGATCTGAGACAAATAAGACGAGTAGCTCAGCGGAGAAGACGGCAGAGTCACATGGCGAAATCTCGGAAGTAGAAGTCGCGGTATCTGGGAAGTGTGTGCAACTGTTCAAGTTTGAGATGAAGATGAGACCCAGCAGCTCAGCGGAGTGGACGGAGGAGTTGCGGGGCGAAGTCTCGGAAACAGAGATCTTAGGACAAGCTGAACAGCTGTGTTTGCTGAGTTCGAAAAATCTGCAAGGAGTCGATTCAAAGAATCTGTGAAACAACTGTGTATAACCAGCGACTCGGCGCAGAGGACGGATGGCGAAATATTGGAAAGGAACGAATTCGAAACAGAGCTTCTAAATGATAATTTCTCATAGCGCTTCTTTATTTTTTTTTAATTTCTCACAGCGCTTCTATTTTAAAAAGAATTCGAAACAGAATTTTTCTAAATGATTATTTTATCCTTTCGTCAGCTGTCCCCTCCATCTAGTCTAACCCATCGGCCATCGTCTTTGTCGTCGCCCTCGTCATAACCTAATGGTCTATAGTAATTATATTCGTCCACTGATAGGGAATAACCTCGTGTATAATGGAGAAGGGTAAGCATGAGGGCTATAACGAAAGAGACAACCCTGCTTGTATGCCGTAGAGGGGGGTGGCCAACGGTGGCGATGGGACGATGGAGGCATTGGCGGGTCTAAAGAAAAAAGAGATTAAATGATTTTTTCATTAGACTAGAAACGTTGTTTTAGAAAAAAAATTTGAAGTATGAGCATTTTAAAAATATTTCGAAAAGTATAATTCTAAGAAAATTGATATCGTACCAATAAATTCATACTATGGATGTACTCTTGAAGTATAGTATGAGACTTGTATGACGAGCAATAATTTAATTATTTAAAATAGATATCTCCACTATTAAAAACTATGCCCCCACTATCAAGTATTTAAAATAGGTGGTATAATTTAATTCAAATCTAATATTCATGTGATAATAAAATATAGAATAAAAATAAAATAAAAGTAGAAGATTTATATTCAATTCATTTTTGCTATCGAACAATTTCATTTTAATAACTTTTGATATTCTTAACATATCCTATGCAAATGGATATAAATGTCCTCAATTTACTATTTAATTCTAACAATTTTTTTTAAATCTAATTATATTATTGTTGTTGTTGTTGTTATTCTCTTCTTAATCATCAAAGCATCTATCATTGTTGGAGATACAAAATAATTAAAAATAAATAAATAATCAAATGAAACTTTATGAAAATTGAAGAGGTGGTGAGAAATAATTTTTGATATTTGTTGGATCGATTTAACATGTTTGGTTAAATGCTCGGAAGATGATATTCTGGGTATTTTTGTAACAATCCGAAAGATATTAGTTTCTGGATTATCAATCTAGAAGATGTTATATTATAAGTCATCTTTTAGGGTTGTGAGAAATAAGGGTTGTCCATAGAAATCTATATATACAACATGATCATTGATTGAAGGATACTTTATTTTTATTGGATAATAAAAAAAAGATAGAAAAAAGGGTTAGGACACTCTTAGAATCATTTTTTATTAGGTAGTATGGACATTTCATTTTTTTTAATACCAATTTTGTCCTAATAAAACTTTAAATCAGTTCGGGTATGTGAATTGGTTCCAAGTCCATGAACTTGTTCCAGTCAATGAACTGTTCCCTAAACCTTTCTTGGGCTTGTCACTTTCCCTTTATCTCCTCCTCCCCCATCTTCCGGTGGCATCCAACTTAAACTCGTCGAGTTTGCATCCAGAGAGATCGTAGATGGTCATGCAAAGAAAAATATCGAATCTACTCGCAGAAGGTTCCTCCAAACTAGTTCTAGCCCGCAGCACTCATCGGCTACATCTTCCATCAACCTACCTACCTCCTCGTTCTACAATAAAGCCTTCAGCCACCCAAAACGGAGCAATATCCTTGTAATACAGAAAGACCTTCGTAGAGAAAGAATAATAAAGAAAAAATTGTTTCAGATGAGATGGTAAATCCTCGTAGCTCGGTGACGGTGCTCCTACCGCTCCACATCTTGAACGTAACATCTGATAGCCTCCAACCTTCGCTGCAGATTCATATTAATTTCATACTTCCAATGGACCGGAGTTAAGGCTTACAAGCGTTCCAAAGAGTAACTAAGACCAGCTAAATCATATTAATTTCAGGTTTCCAACGAACGAATATATATATTAATCCCGAATACATTTACATGAGAAGGAAAAATATGAATGCATTAAACGAGGTCATGGAATGCATTCCATCCATGTACTAAGAAAGAAGGTGACCGGTACGAGAACGAAGTGCAACCCAACACCACAATGACCAAAGAGAGTGGCTTCTGAATTCATTATTGGCCTGGTAGACTATGAATGAGGTGGTGTGTAACGCTTCCAATCCAGCGGATAGTACAATGTTATAATTATGTAGATTTTGAATGCAAGAAAAGAATCAAAATAAAGTAGATTTCATAATTATCACACAATCTAATTCATGATAAATCAACCCATAGGATACACAATAGATTTAACAACTTCCTAAGAATTCTCAATATTTCAATCCAAATAACATAGTAAATAATCTAAACATACAGTGATCTTAATAGATTAATTATATAATTTAATCAATAACCGATCCATCATGTTTCAACCGCACACTCAGAAAAACTTAAAGATAATCTGATATAAGCAACCCACAGTCCAATAAACACCGTGATTCATATGTTAATCAAAACTTATCATAAATAAATAATAAAAGATGAAACCATTAAATCCCGGCATCAAATACCTTTATTCGCAAAATATTATATAAAGGAAGCATAAACTGGCGCAGAGACCTTTCATTGACCCTGCAAAGAAATCAACATAAGAATTAAGAGAATATATACACACACATATATAGCTAAGTTATTGGATAGAACCAAGAAAAATGACTTACAAGGAAGACCAATGCCCTTATTCTGGAGGTACATTTGTGTCATACTTATATGGATCCTTGATGTATCGCATGTATTCTTCGGAATCAGTTTGAAATTTG